TTGAAAACAGAAGCTTTATATGGGGTCTGTGTGTGCAGGGATGTATCCTACAACAACTTTACAGAGTCGCGAGCAACTGGCTGCCAGTTCTCCTCTGTGTACGTTTCTCTGTATTATTCAGTTGAGTTTAGTTTGTGATCGTTATTGCTCAAATATTCTTGGATTTTAACAGGAACTTAATTGCCAGTCATTCAACTTCCTCCAGTGACTCGTGAGTTCTTTGAAAGCCTATCAATGTTTTGTCCTTTCCATTTCTTCATATACTGTGCAAGTTTCTAACCTTTTTATTTCACAGAACAATATGGTGTTTGAAGAGGGACCTCCCGTGCCCCGGAAAATCCCAATGTATGGGGTATTTCTATTACCATAAGACATTATAAATCAATTCGAAGTTAGATTGGCTATGACTCAGTTGCCACCATTCTTATTACACTTGCAGATTATTCATTCTTTATAAATTGCGGAGGAAGAAGGATTACCTTTGGAGGAAATGAATATGAAGAGAACTTAAGTGCGGAAGGTTCGTCATACTTTGAGCCTCATGATAGATGGGCTTATAGCAGCACGGGGCTGTTCATGGGGGACGATAATGCCCAATTTGTTGCAACAAACAATTCTTCTTTGACAATGACTGGTGCAGAATTTTATCAAACAGCTCGCCTCTCCCCTTCTTCACTTAAGTATTTTGGACTTTGCTTGCGCAGAGGTAGCTACAGAGTGCGTCTCCATTTTGCGGAAATAATGTATACCAATGACTCCACCTTTAGCAGCCTTGGAAGGCGGATATTTGACGTGGCAATCCAGGTAAGTTGATTCCCTAATTTCCCAGCAGACATTTATGGCTACCACTTTCTTGGTTAATTCATTACATCTTTGGATATTTTCTTGTTTCATGACCTTATTCCTCAGGATTTTCTAGGATCCCCTTTTCTCTTTCACTTATCTATAGATGGTCAGTGTTCATTTGACTTTTTATGCAGGGGGAGGTTGTTTTGATGGACTTTGATATCGTAAAGGAAGCTAATGGCGTTAGGAAAGGTATTTACAGGGATTTTAATGTCCATGTCAATGGAAGTACACTGGAGATCCATTTGTACTGGACAGGGAAGGGCACCACAGCCATCCCCGACAGAGGGGTATATGGACCCTTGATATCTGCAATAGCTGTGACACCAAGTAGGTGTACTGTGATTTTGTGTGGTCCACTGTCCTTTCCACCGCCTCATAATGAGACCTTCTCTCTTTCCATGCAGACTTTGATCCTGATACGGGGGGGCTATCTGCTGGAGCTATTGCTGGGATCGTAGTTTCTTCATGTGTGGTTGGGATTTTTATTGTAGCTGCACTTTGGATGAAAGGTTATCTTGGAAGAAAAGATGTTGAAGATAAAGGTGAAAAACCCAAAAACAATGTATTTGTTTTTGTATAGTTTGATGTATTAACATAATCATAACTCTTAAATGGGTAATAGATCGAGTTTCCTTCCAAAATTCTTAAACATTCTTCTCTTCTTCTGCCTCTTGTTCTTCTTTATTCTTCTGCTCTTCCCTACATCTCTCTGGTTGTGCATCACTACTGTTGTTTCGGTGTTCATACTGTACAAACCTTAGTCACTGAACAATATTATGTTATCTTCTCGAGACAGAACTTCGAGCCCTTGATCTACAGACAGGTCACTTTACTCTGAGACAAATCAAATCTGCTACAAATAACTTTGACCATGTTAACAAGATTGGAGAAGGAGGATTTGGCCCTGTGTACAAGGTAGTTACTAATTTTTTCCCCTTTCAGTTGTTGATAAGAATATGTTCTATTTATTCCCTGAACTCGTGCAAAAAGAGGAGGATGAAGGCAAGAAGTATTTATCCATTTTAGCTGTATCTGATAATTAATCACCCCTAGTAACTATTCTAAAATCTAATAATTAATATCCATGTACATAACCTGAAATTTATCTTGTTTATTAGGGTGTACTGTCAGATGGTACTATTATTGCCGTGAAACAACTGTCCTCCAAGTCGAAGCAAGGAAACCGCGAATTTGTTAATGAAATAGGCATGATATCTGCTCTACAACACCTCAACCTTGTCAGGCTCTATGGATGCTGTATAGAATCAAATCAGTTGCTTCTTGTATACGAATATCTGGAAAATAATTCTCTTGCTCGAGCACTTTTTGGTAATAATTTGCCAGCTTATCTACCTGTTAAAAGCATCTTTGATTTTTTCTCGTCTTTCAATTTCCGTGTTCTTTCATTTAGGTCGGGAGGAACAACGGTTGAACCTTAACTGGTCTACTAGAAAGAAAATATGCTTAGGAATAGCTAAAGGTCTGGCATATCTTCACGAGGAATCTCGGTTAAAAATTGTCCATAGAGACATAAAGGCTACAAATGTGCTTCTCGACAAGGATTTAAATGCTAAGATATCAGACTTTGGTTTGGCTAAGCTTGATGAAGAAGAAAACACCCACATCAGTACGAGAATTGCTGGAACAATGTGAGCTTTTTCCTTTCCATATTCGATTCTTAAATATAGTTCTGTTAAAAAGGTGGCAGCTGTATGTGGAATATCTATACATAACCTTTTACTTGGTTAACTTCTATGTCAGTAGAAGTATAGATGTTAGGCTTCAGATCTTATGATGAATGCAGATAATTTTCACCTAGATTATTGAAAATAGGCAAAAGTCTGCATATATGAAGTTGTTGTCCTGGGTTTAGTGGTGATATAGGAAATATATATCTATTAGTATGTCCTTATCCTTCATGGCAGTATAATTATTCAAAATAACAACCTAGTCTTCCCCCAAACCAATCTTGAAATACAGAAATAAAAAGGGCTTGATATAGTCATTGACAATTAAATAGTCATTTTAGATTACATTGCCCTAGTTCCTGTCGTGTTTACATTATTACTGGCCGTATTTGCTATTTCCAGATATAATACTCCTTTGATTTTGTCTTTTGCACTTTTTCTACCTCCGAACCTGATACAGTTGCTCAACCTTTGCATACTTCGGTTGAATATGTTACCCTGATGTGAGTTTTGTGTATGATTGTGGACGCTTGTGAAGAGAATTGAAATACCTCTTCCACAATTACTAAGATTCTTTTTCTTTGACAGCAATTGTTGCAATGGGACGATTTCAATCTAGCCCTTCATAACACTTTCTTACTGTACCTTAAAGTGAATGAATCGAATTTATTATTTCGTGCTTAGGTCAGGTATTTTTATGGGGCTTACAGTTGTGAACAAAGATATATAATATAAGCCATGCCAAATGTTAATTTGTAGTGCATTATCATGACAAAAACCATGAACTGTCAGCACTGACCGAATTGTGTGTATTGGGTTTTATATTTGCAGAGGTTATATGGCTCCCGAATATGCGATGAGGGGTTATTTGACAGACAAAGCAGACGTCTACAGCTTTGGAGTAGTTGCTTTAGAAATTGTCAGCGGCAAAAGTAACACCAATTACAGACCAAAGGAGGAGTTTGTCTACCTTCTTGATTGGGTAAATTTTTTTACGTGCTTTATGCAGATTTATGTTTAGTTCCTCGCTATTCATTTCTCCATTTTCTGGATTCTAAACCTGTTTCCTCTCTTACATTTGCTGAATGTGAAGGCTTATGTCCTACAAGAGCAAGGTAATCTTTTAGACCTCGTGGACCCTATTCTCGGTTCAAACTATTCTGAAGAAGAGGCAATGCGGATGTTAAATTTGGCACTGTTGTGCACAAATCCATCTCCTTCACTTAGGCCGTCCATGTCCTCCGTGGTGCGCATGCTCGAAGGCAAAATCCCAGTCCAAGCACCAAAAATTATGCATCGTACACCAAGCGAGGAGATTAGATTTAAAGCCTTTGAGAAACTCTCACAAGACAGTCAAACACATGTATCGACATACTCACAGGATACTGAGGATAGTAAGGAGCAAAAGAGTATTTCGAGAGGTGGACCATGGATTGATTCGTCGATCTCTTCTTTAAGTAAAGATGAAACTCAGGATCATTCTGCAGCAAGTAGGCTTCTTCCTGATCTTTATGATGTAAATTTAGATTGACTGATGATGGATACTTAGAAATTTATTGATCTGATTCTCGTACTAATGTTCTGTTGGAATTTCCGAATTTTAAGTTGGAAGTAAAAACGTTTGACTATTGAAGTGTGGATGGTCCAATTTCTTTCGTTTTTATTTTGGAAATTATTCTAACATTTTATCACAAAATTCAAAATTGATTAGTGCATGACATAGGGGTTGGTTGATGGTCATCAGATAAATGTTCTTAAATCAACCCAGTGTGAACACACGATGTGATGAGAAAAGGAATACAAACTTCGACCAGGGAATTCGGGAGGAAGTTCTCCCTTTTGGAAATAGCTGCAATCACAAGCAAGTGATTGAATAAGTGGAGTCCCGAAATCACATGTAGGATAAGCATGAGTCTTTTTGTGACATTCATTAACTAGCGAAAACAGGGTTTGCGTTTCTATTAGAAGCAGGACGGTGTTTGATTTTCATGGAACAATCCTACTCGTAGCATTCTAGAGGTTAATTTTGAAAGGAAAACAAAATCTCTAATGTCCACGATGGCCCACTAGCGTTTGAAAAAAAGAACAGAAGAAAAATTTGACTACTTCATGGAAGCTCCACTTAACTTGGGGATATAACTTGGTTGTTAGAGATTTGCTCTTACAATTTGGTCGTTGAATTGCAACTGATGTATAATTGTTTAATAGGTAATGATGGTATACTCACTTTTTTAAGTAATGGAAAGATAGTTGAAATGTGTAGACACAAAGATGGACTCTCAAGATCGTATAAAAACAAAAAAAGAGACATTTTAGTATGAAAATCTTTGTACATGGTCCAATCAAACTGAAATACAAAACAAACTTTTATTTACAAACATAATAAACTCCGTTTATATCAGATTCACCAGTAAAAAGGGGTGAGGATATAGTTTATTGCACTGAAAATTAAAGAATTCTTTCAATTTGGGAACCTGGGATTGTGTGCCAATTGGATGCAAGGTTTGTATTGTGGGCCCAATGGTCTTTTAACATTTATTTGAACAGATATATGTATAAAATTATATTGAAATGTGTGTAATCTTGCAGCAAAACATTATCCTGACAACAAAAACATTCCTAAATTTTCACCACCCCTTTTCTACTATTCATCCACCTCGTCTAAAATTTATAATTTAATGTTTTAGATAAAACGGTTTAACGCGAATTTGATTCGAGTCTTATTGTCAATCATTTATTAGAATTTACTTGAGTAATATATTATATATGGGAGCGAGCAGAAGACCCGTAGTTGGTTCGATTGTACATAGAGGTTGTTTGAGACCATTTTTTCATAGAATAAATTTTGTAATAATAATTTTTGGAGAATGTACTATTAAAAAGTAAAGAAAAATTTTAGGTGTATATGTAAAATTATTTCACAAGAAGTGAGTGTGGTTGAAAATGAATTTGAAAAAAAAAAAAATTGGAAAATGAGGCTCAAATAGGGGCTTAAATTTTAAGGGGTTAGTTCCTAGAACCAAGAAAGGTTCCAACTCAATTAGTTCTTTTAAATAATTATTTTTATTTGTTAATATGGTAACAACCGTGCTACATGTACAATGGAGGGTGACGATGTTGGATTACCAACACTCACAATGGGAGGAGCCCACCGTTTTTTTTTTTTTTGAATTTTTTTAATCATGCAGGACCCGCATGTATGTGAGAGGTTGTCAACCTCCATTGTCAACCATCCATTGTGCAAATGGAATTACCCATTTACTTTTGGAGATAAAATTCGCACTATCATTTTATTAATAATTTAGAAATTTGGCTAAAAAACTTGAACCAAATCAGAGCCATTCAGTTCAATTCCTTAATTACATATAGAATCAATGATCCCATTGTAAGATAACTATTGGTTCTTCGAAACTCATCAAACTGAATCGAACCGAATTGAATCGAACCACGTCTATTCCTGATCAAAATTTCGATGAAAAATAGAATAGATCGTGTGAGGATGTGCTGAAGATTAAATTTCAATAAATAAATATGTCTTATTTTATCTGCTTGAATATTTAGACTGAGGTAGTTTAACCAATTTGAAATTACCATTTTTAGCATCCCAATAAGATGAAGGTAGTAACAGTTCATGGTTTCCCTCCTATAAAGTGGGCTACTTCCCATTAATCCCAATTTTCACAGGAGTCTCTCTCGTCATCTTCTTCAATTATATGCTTTTCTAAACCAGTACTACAATTGAAGCTTTGAAAATATCATCAATGGATGACTCAATTCTTCACAGAAATATTGATGATGTAGACGAAAAGACTAAAGGGTTGTTCGACAACTCCTGTGATTTTCTTGGATTCAAATGCAAAGATGAGAATTTTATTGCCAACTTGATGAATTATTCTTTACTTGTTGGAGCTGAGAAGCTGTTGATGGCTCGAAAATCGTCCAAACCATTGGATTGCTCTACTTTTGAGGCCTGTAATGATAGTGAAGTGAATATTTCTGAGATTGGAAGAAATGAAGGTAAATGTGTGCCTGGGAACTACAAAACTTCGAGTCGATATCATCAAAAGATTGGATCGAACAATGAGCTTTTTGATATGTCGAAACTGATGAATTTTCCTGCAGAAAGTATTGCTTTCTTGGCAATACTAATGCTCAAAATGGCTGGTTTTCAACTAAATCTCTTTCTGAGATTTTTCACTTTTCCCATTTTGATATTCAACTTTTGGCTAATGATCTTGATGTTTACATTTCAAACTTTAATATGCATTAGAGAGAATTTGAAGAAAAGGCTGCTGAGAATATGCAATGCCTCCTGCTCAATCTCGATTGGCTTCGTGCTTAATCAGTTTACCGCGCAAAAGTTAATGCTGAGAATGGCGTTAAGATTCGGTTGGGCCATTTCGTGCACATTCTATGTTTTGTTCTTGCTATTTGGTCTGCTACTCTCAGGGTTTGTAATAGGTAGTCTTATAGTGAGAAATCTGGTAGAAGAACCAATGCATGCTACTAAAATCCTAAATTTCGACTACACCAAAACTAACCCGGTTGCTTTTGTGCCTATTACACCGTCCCTCATCCCTAATGTGCCTTCCAGCCTTGATTCGAAACAGAGAATGCCTTCTTCAGACTACGTAGGACAGCGCCCCATTCCTAATAATCACAAGTTGCACCTTTCTGTCTCGTTAACATTGCCCGAGTCTGAGTACAACAGAAAACTCGGAATCTTCCAGGTACATTAGTCCTTGTTCTTTTTCTGCCTTTTTTTTTTCCGATCAAAATGATAAATGCTGATAATTCTTTGGTATTTTTCGTGCTCGTATTTAGATTAGGGTCGAGAGCATGTCTGCAAGAAGTGAAGTACTAGCTAGTTTGAGCTATCCCACAATGCTTCGGTTTAAAAGTCCGCCAATTCGACTGATTGAAACCATGTTGAAAACTGTTCCACTCATAACTGGTTTGCAATCAGAAGTTCAAACACTAAAAATCGACATGAGGGATTATATGGAAGGACACGAACCAACAGCCTTTTTTAAGGTGATTCTGGAACAAAGAGCAGAATTTAAAGCTGGTTCCGGTGTACCTGAAATTTACGCTGCATCACTCGATATAGAATCTGAGCTCCCCGGATTAAAGAGAGCTATATGGAATTGGAGGCGAACAATTTTCGTGTGGATCAGCATTTCATCATTTATGGGTGAATTGATAGTCGTTTTACTCGTCTGCAGGCCTATTATTCTTCCCACAGGAAGGTCCAAAGGTTTTGGCTCGAAGAAGAAATCTCAACAGAATAAACTTCCATGGAATAAATTCAAGAAGATGTAGGATTTTCAAGAAGGATAATCTTTGATCTCAACTCGAATAATTAGCACCAGCACTGCATAGCATTTCGTTTAAACTCAATGTACTAGACATTTTAATAAGTATGAATGAAAACATCAACTCAAATTTGCATCGAAAACTACATCCATGTTAAGAGTGTAATGCTTTTAACTCTATCAGCAAATTCCCTGTTAATACTGCTGCTTGAAAATTCGATAGGGGTAACTTTGAAAGAAGCAAATCCATGTTTCCCAGTGTTGCGTTTTTTCCATCGCAATTGTACAATATCAAACTAATTTGGTAATTATAGGTTTAACTATTTCTAACAAATTGAATGTCGTGATAAAAGCATTTTATGTGCTTATCTTGGCTTCTATTCTCATTTATTTATATATGGACGAGCGAATATCTACTTAATTTGTGTAAATTATGTTAATTGTAGAAAAATCCCAACTTGTATAAAATTTATGTGAAAAAAGGCTATTTGGAGTTGATTTGAAGCAATTGAAGATTAACCAGATTGCAAGAGATCAATTGAAATATTAATGAAGCATCCGGTAAATATTCATAAGTTTCGGAAGTTAAATTCGACATTTGAAAAGTTTGAGGACTAAATTGCAAACTCTGAAACTTGTCTTGGGTATTACTTTGTAATGAAGATGATTAATTACAATATTGGAAGATGAATGACTAAAATCACATGAATAAAGGAGTTCAATTGAAAACGGAATTTGTTCTTTTTATTTCTCAAACTCTTTGGTAGAAACTAATTCAAATTCTTTGATGGAAATGCTCCATAAATACATACCTTAATCCAACAATTAGAAGGGGGCTTGTAGATTTTCATTAGACTCATATATTCAAGCCAAGGTTTAGAGGGTTCATTGTACATATGTTATTCAAGCCAAAGGGAGGGAAAAATCAAGAAATCAATCAAGGAGCTACGGTTTCAAAATTTTACAAAAAGAAGGCAGAATTTTGGTGTAAGGCCCTGTTTGATTTGGCTTTCTTTTCCATGGAATGTGGAAATTCAATTCAATTTCCACATTTTTGCATGTTTGATTCACTAAATTTTTCATAAAATTGGTTTTCCATATTTTCTTAGTTTTTGAAGAAAATCTTTTTCCATGAATTTGATGGGAAAAGCTTTTTTAGGCAATCTTTTTTTTTTT